AAAAAAAAAAGTATAATTCTTTGCATTATTTCTGTAAAAGAGAAGTTAATTACCACGGCATCGTATTCAACTTATTCGAGAGAAGCAAAACGAGTCATTTCACCCACTTGAACTTACGATTTTAATGGATTGTGTTAACGTGACTTACAGTAATAAATAGAAAAACGAGGCTCAAGCAAAGTTAATTTCAAACTTACGACGAGTTCGACTCAAATTATATAAATTTTGGGCAATTCGATATGTCTTGACATCCCTTGTCCATGTTACAAAATTACTCTTACTATAATACTTTTCATATAAGCTATTTGACTTATACCCTTCTGATTTTATTAAAAATAATATTTTTAGTAGCTTTTAATAAAAGTTAATAAAAATATGTAGTTGAACACTCAATAAAAGTCCTAGATTCCATAAAATGTGTGATTAAAATTATTGTTAAATTTTATTTTATTTTCAACCAATTTTTTTTTTTAAAATCGAAGATGAACTTAGTGATTATTTGGAGAAGCTTAAAAAATTGAGATCACATAAGTTCACAATTTTTATTAATTTTTAATTATATATTTCATCAATTTTTATCAAATCTATATTAAAATTTTAGTCATACAACCCTCGCGAACGTGGGATTTAGTGCATGTGATTTTTAATAAGTGGCGTATCGTATCAAACTTTTATTTCTCGTGAAAACATTATAGAAGAGTCGGCAAACTGCAAAAAGTCATCGTTTGACTTAACCCACCAACTCCACTTCGTTGTCATATGATTTGTTAAATAAGTAAATTGTATTTTATATTTCAAGGCATTATAGAATTGCACATATATATGACTCGCATTGTGTGTTTGTCAAATAATTTGGCACACAAGTGGGCACGATTGTCCACAAAAAAAATGCTTACCACACCTACTCATAATTCTTTTTTGAAAACAAACTAGGCAAGTCAAGTTTTTCCACAAAATAAATGCTTATAAAATATTTAAAAAAATTTTGATTTTCAAACTTTCACCCTTTAATTTCCCAATCATAACTTATAATGCATTATAAGCAGTGGGATTTAAAAAATAAAAAATAAAAAAAAAGGCAAGAGTTCAAGTTTTTACACAAAATATATTTATAAAAAACAAAAACAAAAACAAAAACAAAAACAAAAACAAAAAAAACAAAAAAAAATCTTTTTTGACTTTCAAATTTTCAAGCTTTAGAGCCTGTTTGGGAATGATTTTGAGAATTGATTTTTTGACCGTTAGGAAAAAAGTGGAGTCCACCTGTGAGAGAAGAAGTCAAATATGACGACTGGAATAGTGAAATAATTGTCAAAAAATCAATTTTTTGAGTGAAAAAATCGCTCACAAACAGTCCCTTAAGTTCCCAATCATCACTTATAATGAATTAGAAGTAGTGGATCCCAAAGAATATGTAAATTAAAAAGTAAAAAGATAATGTAAATCCTACAAAATATATAATAAAAACAGAATTTGATCAAATTATAAATAACTATGCTTGCCCCTCGGGGCATAGCCCAATGGTGCAAAGAATAGAAGTGAGATTATCTCACGCCTTGCTAATAGCCGCAGTGTGAGGGTTCGATTTTTGAGACATGAAATTGGACATCTTGCAGGTGCATTATATAGACAGCTCTTGTTCCCTGCCTGTTGAGACACATCCCTCGATTTACCGTCCTCACAAAACTCTAGGAGACGAAAAGATGGGGACCCTCAAAATTGGGGTTCAACTTTTATAAATAACTATGCTTTCAAAATTTCCTTCACAAGCCCCAATAGAGTCCCCATTTTGCCCTTTGGCTAGTATCAATCACATCAACCATAATGTGATCTATCACCTCGCTTGAGGCAAACACGTGCTTACACTAGCACTATTTACTCACAAAAGAAATTTTTCTTAAATGTGGTATTGTAGCTCAAAGCTAACCATTAACGACTTTAACACACAATAATAATATTTTAACTCTCAGTATCGTCACATTAGACTCGGAAATCATTGAGCAATTCATATAAAACTTCTCTTCCCATTTTAAAATTATAAAGGTTATCAACTCTAACAAACCTATTTGACGAAAGAAGCAAAAATTCTACCACAACTCTTGGTAGCCAACAAAAGCCAGTTGTTTCGGAATAAAACATTGTGAGTGGCAACAAAGTGGAGATTTCCTTGTCGCGCGCAGATTTTCAATTCAATTTGTTTATTTGCATGTATTGGACAATGAACAATTTTTCACAATCTTGTTTTGGGTCAAAACAAGTTATAAAATTGATCACGTACAATTAGAAAAACACATGAATCAGACACAGAATCTCCAAAAATGCACAAAGAAAAAAATAATAAATAATAAAAAATTGGCAGTTTTTCTCAAGAAAATCAGAAGTTACAGAACTTTACTCGGAAAACTATACTCTGTAGCATCAAATTTTTTCGTAACATCCTCAAAACTACGAATGTGTGTGTGTGTGTGTGTGTGAGACTTGAGAAATTACTGGCCGCATTTATTCAAGTTATGTCAATAATAATGCATCCGACATTAACGTAATCGATCTTCAGAATGTGTTTTTACCCACATCATCTATCTTCAGATTACGTTTTTACCTTATCAAGTTCTACGAACAAAGAGTATAAATATGTATCTCTATGTTGGGTTTTTTCCCCCAATAAATTCGGACGATATTGGATAAGTTGTATCGACACTTTAATGATAATTCAACCCGGAAACAACTCGGGGCCATTTGAAACAATTTAATAGAGTTAATATTGCTCGTGACCCAACACTTTTAGATGGCCCAAGTTGTGGCTTTGTATTGGAATGATATATTGGTTATTTAGATTGTTGGCCCATTGGTTGACCTAAACTAACCCATTATATATACACTCATCCATAGCCATTTTCTAGTATGTTGATCTTGTGAGAAGGAGAGAGAGCACGTGAGTTTTTTGGTCAGTTTGGTTCTTCTTCCTTGAGTTTCTAATTGCTACTCTATTTCTTTTTTGGCTTGCAAACCAATCACCAAGTGTTTCCTTTGTGGGGTGAAGACTTGTGACAATCAAGTGGGAGTTGTGGGTCGAGTAAAGCTCAGTTGATGTTTGTTTGGTTGATGAAAATGAACCTGAATCAAGATTTCTCGAGGATTTCTGCAACAAAGGACTTCCCGTTCGACCCTTGAGGTTACGGGACACCCCAAGGCAGCCTTCCCCACTCATGCGGCCAACAAGCTAATAGAAGGCACCCAGCACATATAAGGATATTGGAAGCTTGGCATCATACCTGAATAAGGGATACCGTTAGTGTACTTCCGAGAAATATAGCAGTAAATCCAGGGTAAGCATGCCACATGGGTAGGGGAGTTCTCTAGGTCCATGACTCACTCCCCCACTCAATCGCTAACGTGAAACACCCATAATTTTTCTTACTATTGTTCATATGAACCTAAACTTAATATAGGTCGTTTAGCAAATTGAATGGTTCATGAAGTTCAAACGTAAAAAGGTAAACTTGTCCCACTTATTTGCATACATAATTTATTTGCTTTCGTACACTTTAAAAAAAATTTATCGTCAGTTATTTGGGACGAATATTTAAGTATTTTAGAAGTTAGTAAAAAATATATTGATATTATACACATTTTGTAGATCGTATTAAATGACATAAATTGGCTAAAAGAGAAATAATTTTTGACTAGTCATATTCGAATTATATTGATAAAAGAAAGCATTTTAGATTCTATATTTTATTAATAAACAGAATGTAAATAATAAAATGGAACAGAACTCGCTTTAGTACGGTTACTTGGATTTGAAAAGAGTATCACAACTTAAACATAATTAAATTCCTTAATCTTTGTAATAATTGATATAATTAACCCATAATCTCTTAAAGAAATACGTTTAGGATTAAATGGTGAGGCCGAGAAGTCTGAAAGTGGTTATTGGAGTTATATTTTTGTGAATTATATATATATATATATGGAAGTTAGAATTTTAGAGCATAAACCTCATTTTTCTAAGTTGATCTATATACTATTATTCTACAAACATATTTTCAAAATTTATTTTGGTGTCACTGAGGTAAGAATACATGTGCAAAGTAGTAAATTCTTATTTCTTGATATTTATATAAAATTTTCGCATGAAACACTATAAGGTATTCAGGTCGAATTCTATGTTAAATCCTTCGAGACAGATCGTTCGATCAAGTATGTTCAATCCTACGGGATGGACATTTGGATCAACTATGTTAAATCCTACAACATATAGAAATTCTTAAGAAATTCATTGAACTTAAATCTAAGAAATGTCGATATATTATGTCAGTTTTATATTTATATCATGTTAATAAGAATGTGCACGTATTCTTACTGAGTGTTTTAAAAATACTCACTCTTACAATAACTTTTTAGATGAGAACGGGTCGTGTGGATGCTTAGAAGATTGACCAAGTGATGCTTATGGAATCGCTAAGTAAAGTCTCCAGAAAATATTATTGTCAACTTTTATTTGAATAGTATCTTTATGTTAATGCACGTTATTTAATTTTTTTTTTTTTAGAGATTCAGCATTGGGCATTTTATATTAAATCTTAAACTAATAGCTTGGAATGGAGTATTTCAAAGATTATATTTAATATGAAAATTTTACTTAAGTCGTTATTTTATCGTTATCGAATTATCGATCACATTTTCAAATTTTAACACATAATAAAAATGATGTTACTTAAATTAGATGAAGAAGATTTTGGTAACACCTCGAGCCTATTTTTATAAAAAAATAATATAATGACGATGAAAAAGATTTCAAGATGTTACATAACGCCCTCGTAGTGGACGTGTGTTTCGCTCCCTCCTGCATCGCATTCTCCTCCCAAGTTAGTGGGTCCAAATTTTTTTTTTCCAATTGCAACATCATCCCCATGATGTGTGGGCATCCGCAGTGCTCTCTGCACCTCTTCCCACAGTAACTCGTACATGCCACTTTCTTCCTATGCACCTCTGCATTAGTATCTCAGGGGACTGCTCTTCTGGCCGCTGTGTTAGCATACATGTCGAAGCATATCTACTAATGCCCCCATTGTTCAATTTCACTACAGTGCTTTGGCCTTGCCCTTGCAAAACAAACGTTCATGCAACTAGCAAAACTGCAAGCACATGCCCCCAACATACGTCTTTCCTCAAAGCTTTCCATCATTGTTTCCACTCGCTTGCCAACCACTTTGCCACATGTTGGCAATCCCAAGATCTTCTCCGCAGGAACGTACGTCATTAGCCTAGGTAAACCAACAACGAAACATTCGAAGCTGGCCTGCTCTGATACCATTTGTCGCGAAAATCCTCGAGAAATTTTGATACAGGCTCAATTTCATCAACCAAATGAACACCAACTAAAATTTACTTGACCCACAACTCCCACTTGCTTGCCACAAGTCTTCACCCCACAAAGGAGACACTTGATGATTGGTTTGCAAGCCACAAAGAAAGAGGAAATAGAGTAGCAATTAGAACCTCAAGGAAGAAGAACCAAACTGGCCAAAAAACTCACGTGTTTCCTCTCTTTCTCACGAGACCTACACACTAGAAAATGGCTATGGATGAGTGTATATACAATGGGTTAGTTTAGATCAACCAATGGGCCAAAGGATAATTAGGCCTCTAATCCAAATAATCACTATATCATCCCAATGCAAAGTCACAACTTATGTAATCCAAAAGTGTTGGGCCATGAGCAACATTAACTTAATTAAGTTACTTCAAATAGCCCCAAGTTGTTTTCAGGTCGAGTTATCACTAAAGTGTCGATACAACTTATTCAACATCGATTTAACATCATCGTCCGAATTTATTGGGTATCAAAAAACCCAACACTCTACTCTGCACAACAGTACAAAACGTGCAAGCAATGTCAAACATTTCTAATCTGGATGTTGAGGAACTTCCTCGATAAATCAGGTTGAAAGAGGAGGCTACAAAGCGAAGCTCATATAATTGACACTCTTACGTTGATAGTCGAATATCTCTTCTCCAGCTAATAAATGTGAAACGATGATTTCTTTCAACTTCAAACTAGAGAGTGCGAGTCAACTTTTCAGAATACTCCCAGATCAGCTCCTCAGAAGTACCTACTAAGATTGTTAGATTGTGGAGAAGTTGACTCTACTATTTCAGGGACCTGATCAAGCAACTGATTCATCTCTTCCAGAAATTCAGCCTTGGCTTGGTTTGTTTTGCCTCCAATTACCACCGTCATTCCATCTTGTAATGCCCAAATCTTTAAATGCGTAAAAAGTTAAAAGATTAAACGACAATCAAGGTTTCTAGGATGACAATATTTTAAACCAGAGTCCTATGTTAATGGGATCAATATCGAGGTGAGACTTTACCTGGCTATGCGATAAGAAACTGATACGTGTGGTGAGCATTAGAGCACCAAAACCAACATAAATGATTGGCACAGGAATAAAGCGGAAAGAATAATTCGTAGTAACAGAAGCTTTGAATTTGGCCGTCGAACTCCTTCAAAATTTCTTTCTTATAGGACAATTGATTTCAAGTTATGGGCTAGCACTGATCTGAATCCTCAATCAGAGAAAGAATGGAAAAATAAAGGTGTTAAACTATTAAGAGATATTTGCATCAGGTAAACCTCATACTATTTGATTGACTAGCATTCAACTTAAATTTCACGTATCGTTACTTCAAATAATATTTTATTTTGTAACCAAGGCAAGCAAAGACACCCACATTCCCTTAAAATCAGGACAATCAACATTTCCAATAGGCAGAAAGGTTCCATAGAGCTTCCTGTCCCTGTTGATTTTGAGATGAGCCATAGCCAAATAAAAGATTCTTCATCATCCTTCATTATTTGTAATGCTAACAAACTCCAATCCGTCTGGTATATAGTGTTCCCACTATACCTCAGAGGATCATTGATGCTTATTCTTTTCCCATTACCTCCTTCCCATTAAGATCAAACAAAGAAAGATCACTACGAAACTGAGAAACCTATTACTCAACCAAAAGATACAATATAAGATAGATGAACTCTTCAGAAACGAACAATATCGAGAAGTCATAGGTGCAACTGTGGATGTCTACCTCTCCACCGTCATAGTAATCCATATAGAATCTACTGACGTGAACCTCTCTATTAAAAGCTTCTGAAAGAGTCGATAAAATCCACTGGGCCCCAGTACGTCTCCGATAACAAAGTTCAAACCCTGTGGCACTGTTATCGGCCCTTTAAAGTGTTGGGACCGATTGACCAATAATGTAGGAATTAAGATTTAATGAATTCCACTTGTTGTAATTGAAGTATTTAACAAGATCACAAATAACCCAAGAATAAGATTAAAGTAAGTAAAAGAAGAACTGACAGAAGGAACGATGTTTTATTAATTCACTATGAAAGGAGAGCATAACACAACAAAAGGCTTCAATAAAACTGACAGAGGAGCCTTGTATTTATAGTATAAAATCTAGTCCTAAAAGTGTCCCAAAAAAAGTAAGAAATCTAATGTAATTTAGACTCCTATTTGAGTCACACTTCTAACAATCTCCACCTTGACTCAAATTCCGGTGCAACGAACGAAGTTCCAAAATTTCTCCACCTTGAGAAATGATCCGTCTGCATCAGAATAACCAAGCTCCTCAACACAATAACCAAACTCTCCACAAAAACATGTTCCTCCGCCCGGTGTCCACACGCGACACCCGAACCCAAACCTGGGTTCTCAAAATTCCTCCTGGAATTAGCAATTACTGGACAGGGTCGAAGCACACCCTGTAGCACAAACTACACCAAATGCACAATCCGAAGGTCCCTTGCCAATATTGTCACCTTCAATGATTTCTAAAGCAGTACAGACATCTCCAAAATTGTACCTACGCTCCATGAGTCCATTAGCATTACAAGAACACAGTGTACTCGCTAAAATTGGTGGCAAAGCGGAATCACCAACACTCCCTTGAGCAAAGTTCTTAACTGATCCAGAGCCAAACCCGAGAGGTATTGTACCAAATTGAATGTCCACCACGATACTGAACTGTTCCAAATATCTCTGAATTGGTTCTGCGCTCCCCTGCAAGATGTACAACTGGGATTTCCTCCGTCCCTCCAGTACAACCCGGACACCCCTTCGAACCTTCAAAACTCCACCTCCACCAGAAAATTTGTACCATTTTTCATCCAAGGTACTAAGTGATATGAGATTCTTTGTCAAGTCTGAAACATGGCGAACCTGATCGAGTGTCCTCACTGTTCCATCCTGTAGCCTCAATCTGACCCGACCGATTCTTGCAACCTGGCAAGATTGGTTGTTTCCCATGACAACTCCATCTTGCTTCACCGTCTCATATGTTTGAAACAAAGCCCTATTGGGACACATATGATACGAACAAGCAGAATCCAGAATCCACTCCTCAGGTTCGGATTCCCCGTCAGATACAACCAACATCACATCTCCATCATCACAAAAATTTTCAGCAATATTAGTCTCGTTTGAATTACCTGATTGCCCTGCATGATTTGCATGTAAATCACCTTTACCTTGCAACTTGTCGCAATCTTTCTTGATGTGTCCTTTCCTCTTGCAGTAATAACAATACACATTGCTGTACTTCACCTTCAATCTACCCCTCCGTCGATCACCATGAGTAACAAGAGCATCCTCACTCCTAGATGCAGGATCTCCAACCGACAACTTCATCTTTTCTTTTGAGAATAGGGCTTCGTATACCTCCTCAATGGATAACGTGTCATGACTATACAGAATAGTATCACGAAATGACGAAAAAAAATTGGGTAGCGAACACAACAGGACCAAGGCTAGATCCTCTTCATCATATTTTACCTCCAACGTCTCCAAATCTGCAACGATCTCCATGAACACAGCAAGGTGGTCTTGCAGTGACCCTTCTTCCGCCATGCGTTGAGAATACAACCTTTGCTTTAGAGTTAGTTTGCTCGTCAAACTCTTTGTCATGCACAACTGCTCCAACTTGAGCCACAAAGCAGCCGTTGTCTTCTCCTTCAAAATATCTTGCAGCAAATTGTTGGATAAATGAAGTTGGATTTGCGTTAAAGCCTTCCGATCCTTCTGTTGTTTCTCCTCCATAGACAAGATTGCTGGCATCCTATCAAAACCCAGCAAAACATCATCAAGATCCATCCGCGTCAACACAACTCTCACCTTTACTTGCCATAACGAAAATCTTGTATTGCGATCCAATAGCAAAATTTCATACTTCAACGAATTCATCTCTAAAAAATCTCAATCTAATCACGAAGAACTTGCAACCTGCAACACCCAAAACTGAAAACTACCGAACGTGCAAGGGGCAAAATAGTCCAGAATCACAATTTTGCCCAAAACTGAAATTGGACACCACCACAAGGTCCGTCTCGTCGTCCGGAGAAAATTGCCTGAAGACACCGTCGCCAGAAAATGCCTCACGCGCCGCCACTCGCTCGCCGGAGTTACCACCGTCGGCGACTAGTCGAAAAACGCGTCGACGACCTGTGACCCTTTCTGGACTGTTTCTGCCTGTTGAGTCCATTGGTGGTGTTCGTTTCTCCAAATTATTTTTGGTTTGACCAGAAAATGTAAAAATAGATTCGGTAGAAAATCAAAAAATTGGACAGATTCGT